CTCTCAGAGCAGATAGATTGCTTCTATGTGCTCTCAGGAGCAATGGTGAGGGAGGTTGGAGATGTAGCTTTGCTGCAGAAAAAGCACATATTTAGTAAACAGAACATATTACTATGGTGGCTTATTGTAAACACCTCAAACTGAATACCTGAGTCCCAGGAGCTCAGTGGCTTACAGTTTACAAATGTATGGTCAGCTGAAAGTGAAGCTTTGAGAGGAAAGAAGTTAAATATAGGCCATTCTCATGATGAAACTGGTACCCTATTGTTTAGTTTGAAGACAAAAAATTCCAGTTCAGATACACAGCAATGCATTTGCAGCCTTCCAACAATATTGCCTTGAAACCCCATACTAAAGCACCCATATCAAAATAAACTTTATCATGAAATTTGGAGCTTTGGAGTACAGGAGGCACTCAAGTGTACAAAGATTGATCTCTGAGCAGGCAGGTGACTGCTATATTCTCTGAGGTGTCTGCTAGAAAAGATGTTTTGCTGAGGAACAGTGCAGTAGAAAATCCATATATATATTGTTGGAACAACCCAGCGAGTCTTACAAGTGAGTTTACTGGGTGAGTAGGAGTGCCTCCAATGTTCTTCACTTGAGAGAATTTTATTTGTCCAAGACTCCAAGGTATACCCTAAAACTTGGTCTTTTCTGATGGAATTCAGCAGCTGATCAGCTTCACAGGAAGAGACTTTCATCATAGGTGATGCAGTGATTACTATACACTATTTTGATATGTAGCTTATAAAGTGATGTAGATCACCACGTCAAAGCTTACAATAGAATACAGATAACATCCGTAAGTCTGAAACAAGGGCCAGAACTCCCTTTAGCTCAAACAGAACAGTAATGCCATTTACTAAGACAAGGTATGGGAAAGACAGGCAAACTCTTCTCATGCAAGATTGTGATAGAGGCCAGAGATTTTTTAAGATGATAGTGACAATCATACCTCGGAAGCCTACTTCTAAAGGTTTGTGCTAAAACAGTTGCATGTGCTAGGCTTTTACCACACTCCTAATACAGGAGGACAAGGAGCTGAATATATATGTACTATATTCGTCACATTAAGATTGTGTATTCAACTTCCAGAAATCAACGTAGAAAAATATGTCCTGGTCAGAGTTTGCAACTAATGTAGGTGGACTATAGCATCTGCTACAAGATTAACTGGGAAATCTGTGCTTTTTCCTGTGTTCCCTAGTAACAGAGGATTCTAGAAGTGATTTCTGCAGAGCAAATGTGAATAGGTATGATGTTAATTAACAAGGATTCTCCACACTGTGATCATGAACATACATCAGAACTAGCTGTGTAGCTTCTGCCTGCTGCACGAGGGGCAGGTTCTCCCTGAAGAGATCTGTTTTCCCCACAGAAGAGCTGAAATGGTGTGGTCTGTCTGCAGTGCACCTGCTGTGCTTTCTGTGTCAGTAACCTAACATCAGTCTTGCACCATCTCTTCAGGAAGGATGCCAAAATTCTCCCAAAATCCCAGAAATACTGACAGTGGCCACTGTCATTTAACAGAGAATTTGTTTTCCATGTGCAAAAGTGGCAGCAAGCCTCTATTACTCATTTAGACTAGACTTTAGGAATTGCACATCAATAACAAGCTCCAAAGACTCTACACTGTCTTCTCTGGCCCAGTTCAACAAAGTCCTTATTAATGGAACAGAGAGCCAAAGAGCTTACAGAACCCATCAGTGCAGAGCAGTTCCTTTGAGGTTTCCATACATTCTCCCATCAACAGATACGGATGCCCATAGCAAATCAAGAGCTGGACTACAACCAAGACTCAAGTGACTTCCTTGACAAAGCAGGACCCACTCATACCAGTGATGGCCCACTTATACCAAAGTCCCTTTTTATACTCCAGGTAACTGATCAAGGCTCCTTAGAAAGGATTTTTAGGTCACCTTCAGGCCTAGGTTCAGTGGAACATTACAGAGGCCTTCATATAACTGCCCTTATTGTGGTCTTTGGTTCTCAAGAGCTGGAAAAAGTAGGATTGTCTCTGTCTTCTTGCTGTTTAGTTTACAGTCTCAGTTCATACTGCTTCAATTACTGCCACAGTGGATCTCTAGTTCTGCCAAGGAGATTTACTGCTCTTGCCTCAGGGTCTGATACAGCTGTTGGTAAACTTCCACCTTGTTCTCCCAGCTATTTTGTAAGGAGTTTCACATTATCTTCTTGTCCATTGCCCCTGCAAAAAAATGGTGTAACCTCTACCAACTTTGCTCACTTGCTTCAAACAGATGTACCTCAATCACATCCCTTCCTCTGGTTAGGAGCCCTACAAATGTCTTATAAATATGCTTCTACCTCTCAACTGATCCTGAACACCCATACTCTATCAGGGCAGTGTTAGCTACTTGGCTAAAGCAACCTGTACACTCTTTATACCAGCTCTTACATATTGCTTGAATTAGCAGTAAGTGGCCAACAAGTGTGGAACTAAAAGTACTATGAGTGCTTAGACTGGAGTTGGATAAGACTGATGGAGGGGAGCAGAGTTTGTTGGAGGAAATGCCACATAAATACGAGGTTCCTCCTATGCAATTTGTATGTTCACGAGACATCAGACTGCTGTGACATCAGTAATACTGCAACATTGGAATGCACAAGCCAAACTAACCCAAGGCATTTTGTTCTGCTATATTACAAACATAATGACGCAACTTGGGCAGGAGGAATGCTATCACAATGAAACTCAGTCTCAGAAGACCACATAGACCTCAGGAGTTTATACATATGTACAGGATTATATATGTAATAGTTTAAGAAAGGCTATCTAATTTCCATTCAACTAACGATAACAACTGTTTTCTTCAAGGTACCTTTATGGTTTGGTCCAAAATATCTGTAAGCTATATAATACAGATATTATTAGTGAATCCAGGCTCTGTTTTTCAAGCTATTTTCAAATTTAATATTTACAGCACTGTGTTTATTATTTTAGCCTCTGGCTGATCCTTACGAACACTACACCTTTTGTATGGCAAGTGTAATAGTAACTAATCGAATAAGGCAGATTAAGCATATTTAGAATAACCTATCCAAATACGTACTTTAGAAAGGCATATATAAATTTTACAAGTAGAATATTAAAATTACATGGCTAAAGAGAAATAAACTGTTTTCTTGGGATCTCTGGTACTGTTTTTTTCTTGGTTCAACCACACCAGAGAGAGACTTTTGAGTATAAAAACTGGTCAGGTTTGGGCTTTGTTTAGAAACTTGCCTGATAATTAGAAGCAAAGGCTGTTAAATATATATCATTTTTCCACTGTGCAAGCATAAATTATTTCCTGTAACAAATTTTCCTGTGCGTGTTACTAGGCTGTATATAGATCAGAAGCGGATATTTATAATTAGCCTGTATTTGTCTTCACCTCTATCTTTGTTTCCAAGGGTTGCTACGGATAACTGTTCTTCCACCTCCTGTGTTCTCATTTTGCAGGTCTTGTGCGTCTCACAAGGGTGAATCCTTTGTTCCATAGCATGAAGTATAGATACAAAGACCTGATGAAGCAATCTAGGTGAAAATATGGGTACTACTGCAGTCAGTATTACTTATCTTGTCACTAAACCTTAACAAAAGCCCTCCTGTGCCTTGAGCAGTGTAGGCAAACTGAGAAATATGCTGACAAGAGCAACATTTTCAGGAGTTTGCCTCTTCTCTAAACTCGTATTTCCTGGGAATGCTAAAATGTATGCTAAGAACCATGCCCAATAGTTAAAAAAGACAAAAATGTCCACTTTCACTTATGTTAAGCCAAGATACCATAACCCATTTCCCTAAATGGATGTTGCCGCAGAAATCCATTATGGATTGATTTATTTCAACATATATCTGGAAATTATAAGAACTGCAATGAGATACCTGCTACAAAATATTTCTGCTGAGCAAGGAAGATTTCTTTCAGCTCAGCACTTCATTTTTGAGAGACTAAGTTCTCTCAAAGAGAGATCCGTGGCCCCATGATGGCCCACCTGTATTGCTACCAGAGAGATCTCTGGCCTTTCTCCATTAGAGCAGAATGGCTTATGTTCTGCCTTCCCAGAACCTGGAATATACTGAATGATAGCTGAGAGGGGAGGTTCTTGATTTTGAGCATCTCACCTTGCCTGTGCCATTAGGAGAGAGTGAACTTTTTCCTGGAAATAAATGTAGATTCTGGGATTTACTGCTGGACAAAACTGGAGAGATTATGGATCCCATAGTTTTCAGGCAATGTGTATGACTCCTGCCAGTTGGCCGAGGTTTCTCAGTCCGTAGCCACACAGTCCCTCGCTGATTCCCCAGCTCTGCCCAGCACACTGACCTGGACGGTGGCAGAGCGGATCGAGCCGCAGCTCCGGCTCACACGGCGGCTGTAGCGGCGGCCTTGAGCCCCCGCCTGGCCCTCGGCTCGCTGCCGCTCTGCCGCCGCAACACCTCGTGCTTTGGCCGGACCGGGGACCAGACATGAATTTTAAAAAACCCGAAGGAAAGCGAGAGCGCTGGAAAGCAGCGCTGCTCCCATACCGGCGGGACTCCTCTGTCCTGCAGACCACATCCCTCTGCTCATCTCGCATCCCTTCGTCTCCCCGTATCCTTTCGCCTTGCTGCCATCCCCCTCTCCTCCCAAATCCCTCTGCACATCTTCCCACATCCTTCTCGTCTCCCGCATCCCCCTGCATATCCTCCCGCAGCCCTCTGTCCACGGACGCTCGCAGCTCCGAGCTTCTGCTCGGTATGTCCCCACGCCGGCCCCCCGCACCGCCAGCAGCAGCAGCGGCGCCGGCCCGGCCCGGCGGCAGCTCCCTGCCCCGCGGTGCCATCGCGGGGAGGGCGGCCGGAGCCGTGATGTCAGACCTGCCGTCGGGGCAGCACTGCCGAGGCCATGACGTCACCCTGTGCCGTCCCCGCGCGGGACGGGCGCCAGGAGCCGCCGCTCCCGCCCGGAGCCGCCCCCGGCGCAGCGCAGCGCAGGGCGGGTCCCGGCGCAGAGCCGCTGCCGGGAGCGCTGGGCCCGGGCAGCCGCCGCGCCTGCAGTTCTCGGCGGGGCGATGCGGATGGCGGTCGGTGCGGCAGCGGGCGAGGGGGCAGCGCAGAGCCCCGGCCCCGCCGCCGTGTCGCTGGGCTTGAGCGTAGCCGTGGTCTCCAGCTTGGTGAACGGCTCCACCTTCGTCCTGCAGAAGAAGGGGATCGTGCGGGCCCGCGGGAGAGGTAGGGGCCCGGCGACGCGGTGGCGGCGGGCGGGAGCGACCCTTCCCGGGCTTTCCAGGCTCCCCTCGGCACCCCCGGTAACCCCCCGGTGCGCGGGGCACGGCCCCCGGCCCCGTGCGGGACGGGTTCTCCCTCCCCGGGGCAGCCCGGCCGCTCCCTCCCCTCGCCCCCGCGCAGCCCTTCCCGCGCTGCGGCGGCGGCCGGACCGGAGGGGAAGGGGGAGGATGCGGGAGGGCTGCCGCGGGACACGGGCACCCCCGGGCCCTGACACAGCCTCTTCCGAGGGGGTGGCGGTGTCGCCTGGAGCGGGGGACACCTTTCTGGTGGCTGGACCGAGGGAGCCGGCCTCAGTTTGTCAGCCTGAGCGTGTTTGACATCAGAGGTCCATGACTGGATCGCGGCGCCGGGGAGGTGATAAATGACCGGAGAGACGGCAGGTGCGGATCAGTCAGGATGTATTACGGGTGGAGAGCAATGAGAGTGGGTGAAGGTGGGCACCAGCAACAGTTTTCTGATGTATGGTCAGCTCGCTGGTCTTATGTCTCGCTGTAACACAACACTGAGGACTTGTGTATTGTATGCACGCGCGTGCATACATAGGTTCCTCTTTTTCATGTACTTGTGGGATTTTCCAACCAGTTTCTGTGGCTTTGCTACTTTCTTGCCATGAACAGCATCCGCACATCTTGTCACTTGTTTATTCTAGCCCTTCCAAGTTGCATCGTTGCATCAGTCATAGTGGTTTTCTCTTGTTGAGAAGAAAGATGCACCAGTAACATGAAATAATTTATTTCTTTTATTTTTCATATTGAAATCCCATGCCTCATTATTGTTGTCTGAGGTGAACGTATTCAGGAACTGACTGTGCTGTCTAGACAGTCTGGCCAAAACAAAACTATATATTCAGAGTGTGAAGATCTTCTGTATTTTATTTTGAAATTGGAGCTCCCCAAAGCATGCAGCTGAACAGCACTTGCTAGTTGCATCATCATGCTTTGAATGTAGGAGAATGCAATGTATTTGTTCTTAGTATCATGCTTTTATGTAAGGGGAAAGTTATAAACACAGGTTGCATGAGCCCTTTGGATTCTATTACTGTAGTCAATAGCCATTTGTTTTTGTAGGTGATGGTGTCTATGTATGAGCAGGTGTCCATAGGTTCTGGGAACTCTTTCTTATGAAAAATCTTTTTTAGTGACCAGGAGAGGCAAGGTATTTTCTTTGTATGCATCTGTGTACGTAAATATATATATATTTGTACTTGAGATGGTTCATATTAGAGCAGCAGTTTATTTCCCGTGCCTGCTGCATTTAGCATGTTAATAGTGGATGCAGTGGAGTAAAGCAGGGTTTGGAACTATGTCACTACCAGCTGCCAGCGTGATCTAAAAAGTTTGTTTTGCGTTTTCTGCAATGACCTTACAGTTAAAGGCCTCAGACAAACTTTGATTTTGCAAGTATAGTCTCCCTTTCTCTCCAAGATGGCTGTAATACATTTTTGTTGTCCACAGAGAGATCACGTTTGCATCATAAATACAAATTATTTCTTTTTTTGTGAAGGAAACAGTGAGAAGATACAAGAGAAAGGAATAACTTTTCATCCCAAGGCAGCTGGAGAAAGTTTCCATTTTGCAGTATAGTCGGGTCTAATTACTCCTGAAGAGCTTTCAGTGGAGCACTGAGTTAAGTGTGATGGGCATGTGCCTACTTTCTCAGCGCTAGCAGCTGTAAAACATCCTGTTTTGAAGATAGTAGTGATGTTTATTTGTGTATCTTGCTGAGCAGTTCGTACTACTTTCTATTGCTGTGCTCAGTGTGGAGGCATACAGGAAAATACTTCAGGTTTCTCTCTATTTAATGTTATGAAGCAGTGGGGTTCTGCCTTGAATCTAGCAGTTGGAGCTGTGTGTCCGAGATCGTCCATGTCAGATGATGTCTTTTTTCCATTGGCTTCAGCAGGTGTTATATAATTAACAAGGAGGCACCTCAAGTCTTTTCTGCCCTCTCTATTCAATCAATAATATAGTATCAATTCAATTAGTAATACTTGCCTGGTTAGAAACAGCAGTAAGTGACAAATATTTTTCAAAGTTACCTTGCTTGAGTCAATATTTTCTATAATTTCTGCCTCCAACAGTGTTTTTATTTTATATGCAATAACAAAAGCCTAAAAACTTATTACACCCACTCAAAAGCTGGCCATTTCCATTAGTCATTTTTCATCTCATTTCAATTATATAGTTTGATTTCCAGAGTTATAGATTACTGTGTTTTTCTTTCATTTGGGATTTCAGGGTAGGTACAATATTGTCTACTGCTCCAGTGGCTTTTGAGAGAGCACCTTCCCAAATAAATGCAGAGCTGTATTGCTAGAAAAAGGAGCAAAACGTAGAAGCATAACGTGATGTGAAGGTTGTGCTTGGAGGAGGCCATGCTTTAGTGTAGAAAGCCTTGATATTCTACTGAAGCAGAACTTATAAAATGTGGTACACAGGCTCCACATGTGCATATCCCAAGGCCTATAATCTGACAGTGAAAAATAATCATCCTTAAACTTGGGACGTACTAAGGGACAATCCAGAGTTTTTACTCCTCTCCCTGAAACAGAGCAGGATATCAGGAATGCAGAGGCTTCAGTCATAAAACTTCCCAGTACTTAAATGCAGGAGGATTGGTCCACACTACAATCCTGCCAACCTGTGCACCAAAACAATTTCTCTGCTACAAGTTTTCTGAAACAATTTCACTGAAGTTATATTAGCAAACTAATTGATCCAAATCATGTTCTGTTTCCATAGGTTTTCCATTCTCCTAGTAGAGGTTTTAATCTGTATGTTTAAATGTCACCCTCAGAAGCATTTCGTGACATTTTGGATGCTTTTCTACACAATACTATGTTAGCATCAGATAGGTACTTCAAACTGGAAATCAAAACTTCTGACTAATACATTGTCTTAAGAAGGTCTCACTTCAACACATAAGCCAAATCCGAGAACCTTCTCTCTTTTTTTCCCCCCTCACGCTCAGTTGCCTTGAAGAATTGGGTTAAGATGAAGGTCCTTAATAACTATATTTTCCTGTACTTCCTCTTCCAGGTACTTCATACTTAACAGATATAGTATGGTGGTCTGGCACTATTGCAAGTAAGTATCTGAGAAGGTTTGAATTTTTTTTTTCTTAAGAGGACTTGGGCTTAGGTGGTGATACAAGACATCAGGAAATCTGGGTTTTCATACTGAATCTCATACTCACTTGTCGTGAAATTTCCATCACCAGAAATATCCCACCATTAGTAATCTCCCACTCTGGCTACCATGCCTGCTGGTGTTTGAGAAAGCAACACGAGTCACACATCTTTCACACTTCCAAACCACTGGGTACTCGCAGCCCTTGGCAGCCACACACTGCTCTGACTCTGGGTTCCTGCATGGTTTTGTCCCTGGATTGTGGTGGCCTGCTCAGTTTTTAATAAAAGTCAAAGATGAATTAAAAATTGTCGCTCTGCACAAAAGGGCTCATTGAGAACATGTTATTTTTTAGATCAGAAAGCACTTAACCAGCCTCAATTAAAAAAAAAAAATCCTTTTTGAGTTCTAGTTTAACAGATAGAGTTTCAGTTTTGCTTTTAATCTGCAAGATTAATATGAAGCCTTGTGTGGTGCTGATATGAGATCAGTGTAATTTTACCCTTAATTTCTTTTTAAACTCTGCTCACACCAAGTTCATTCTCTGTAGTGAATGTAGAGCATGGGGAGCAGCTGGCTTTCTCCTCTTGCAGGTCAGCCCTAGTTCTACCCACAAGCTTAAAATTATACCCACTTTTAGACTCTAATCCAGCATTTTGTGAATTATTTGGAAATGTTCTGATGCTGTTTCTGAGAAGTATGAGTCCAGTTGTGCCTCTGGTTTTGTGGCAGCAAGGTAAGTCTCTTTTGTTTTTGTTGTCTTAAAGCTATGCAAAAGGAACAAAAACTGATAGATCCCTTTGAAGGACGAAGTTCACAAGTGTAAAAGCCAACAGAGCTTCAGAAGGAAGTCTTCAGCTAATTTAACTTGAGTTTAAGTAGTTCTTTGTCAGCTTCCTCCTCTGCCAAGATCACTACTGCCTAAGTAGAAATAAATCTATGTATCAGTCTCATTGTTTATCACTCATGAGGCTCCCATCTGCAATCTCTGAGCAGAAGGAGTTAAAATAAGAGAGATTTTATTACAGGACTTATCCTGGTGAATCGGAGAAAACAATTTCATGCTTAAAAGAGCTGACTGAATTGAATGAAGGCAAAACAGCTGAAGGGAATGGTATCAGTTGGCTTTTTTCCCAGCAGCTAGATACAGGTATTTCAAAACAAAGCCTTAGTAGCTTTACAGAGGAACCAAGAAGAAATGTTATCGATATTATGGACTCAGAATGGCAACAGAGTCACAAACAGCAGTAGCAAGGGCCAGGTAGGCACCTATGGGATGCAGAGAAGGGTGATATTTGGGGAATTAGCAATATCCCCAGTTATCTTGATGAAATTATAGCAGCTGATATAATTTTGTCAAGCAGAGAATTTGGAGTTTGGATGACTAACAAAACCCACATAAACTCTGTCAAGTTGTTTTCATGGTGTTTGTTCAGACAGTGAACAAGCATTTCTGTGTTGGCATGCTGACTCAGCATAACGCTGCCTAACTGTTTTGGGGCCCTGGGATCCACTGGATTACTGAGGACTTCAAAGGAAGGGCTGCAGATTCTGCTAAGGGACTTTTTCTTTCACTGTAGTCAAAAGAGTGATTGCAGCATGTGTACAGGTATTTCAATGAGCATTAAATTAATTAATTGGCTAATTAATTACAGTGCAGGTTTTGATAGCAGCATAGAGGCAGCTGGTTCTTATAGTGGATATGTCTGTGTTAGTATTTTATTGCAGATGGGGAATACACTTGTGAAGCGAATCTCCTGTTTGTCACCATGGATTGGCCTTTATTTCACATTTCATAGCAGAATTGGAGCTCCTGAACTGGATGTTAAAATGAAACTGCTGGAAGATGCACTCTAGGAACATGCTTAATGCATACAAGCTGCAAATAGATTTCCAGTTCATGGGAGCAGGCAGAAGTTAGCCTGAAATAAAGGCCCTGACATGCCTAGAGCAGATACCTTTTTCTGTACTCCCAGTCTGCTCCTGGTCTCCTTGCTAATGTAGACAGGTCAGTGTGCATCGAGTTTTATGTTGCAATAACTTTGGGGATACTGGTACTTCTTTACCAAGGTTAAACCTTGTTGTGCCTTCAAGAACTGAAGTCATGTTTTGACTTACAGCATTGATGTGTCTGGAGAGGAATTTTTGTCCAGAGAGAACTGGATAGGTTGGCAGCAAAGGTCCTCATCATCAGGTAGATGGTAACAATGAGATTCTTTTTTTATTTGGTCTTAATTAGTCCTGGTCTGTTATTCATGGTGGTAAGGGACTGTTAATATTACCCATGGTGATACGGAAAACCTCCAGTAAGTTCAGTTGCCTTACGATATATTTGGTTTGACTGAAACTTCGGAGACCTAATTTGTGGATTGTTGTTGATGCCGTCTGTTAGGAGTTCTTCCAACAGAAAGTTAAGACACCTGACCTCCAAAAAAGCAACCTTTTGTCAGAGTTATTTGGAAATGTCTGTAATCTGCAGAAACACAGCATGCCAACTGTGCTCCATCCCCCATCCAAGATCTGCCCCAGTGCCTTCAGATGCCTTGAAGATAATGCCAGAAGTTGCCACATATATCTGAAAACTAAGCCTGAGGCTGATAGCAGAGTTACTCTGTTCCCAGGGGCAGGGAGACCACCACTGTCTCTTCTGCTTTAGAAATGCTGCTCATCAACTTCTCTGGCTCACTCCTGCATGTAGAGAAAACCTCAGTGAATTTAATTAGTGTAATTTTGCCACACTCTGCAGTTTTGCAAGTTTGTTTGTCTCCTTCATGTTTCCTGTAGGTTACACAGGTCTTCAGCCCTACTGATAATGTGAGCTAAATTGGTAAATTAATTAATGTTTGCACAGTGCTTTGCAGGTGTAAAAACCAGAATGATGGTAATAATATTTGATAGTTGAAGGCAATGCCAGCCTGAGCATAAAGACATCTTGGATTCTTGAAATGTTTTTAAATGCTGATAATGGCTTTTAAGAGCAGCTGGAAATTTGAGCTGTATGTAATTTGTGCTCAGTCTCAAGCTTCTTTCCAGTTACCACAGACCCTGTAACTATGCAAGTACATTGATCTATTATAAACTTGCCAGCACTTGCAAAACCACCCAGCTTTTATTTTTTAACTGAAAGCTTGAACACATGAACTGTTATCACAGCTGTGATATGCAATAGTGTGGTACATCTTGGAATTTACTTGAATTGGAGGAAAGACAAATAAGGTTTGAGGCTGTTTCTATGACTTGTCAGGGATCTCTTTACAGTGGTCAGGAATGACTTTTGATGCTATACAGTGTTATTTGATGTAGTGTATTGAGGAGTCCTTATGCTTGTGCTTAGGATTTCTTCAGAAGATTCCTCAGTACTGTCCTTTTTTTCTCCCAAAAAAGTAGCACTGCTGTCAGGAACTATAATCAAGTGCATTTTTTTATGTACATGCACGTTCTAAAGATGAAAACATGGGTCATATGTACTTTTAGCCTTCCTTATATAAATATTTAAGTTTAATACTGAGATATTTGAATGTCATCTATGAGTGCTTCTAATTTATAGTCTTGTCTTATGTTCAACTAAGAGAAGTTACAAAAGAGATTATTTACTCTGCCCACTTGGATACCCTTGTGTGGCAAATATAAATCCTATATTAAGAAATAATAAAGAAATATTAAAAAACCCCAGCCATTTTGTTTAAGTGCAAAATTAAAAGAGCTAAGCAAATCTGCAACATCTGTTTTCCAGTTAGCTCAGTCTTTCCCGAACAATATTGGGTAAGTTTTGATTACTTCTTTTTACAAAGGGGTTTAAAGGCTTATTTCTGGTTCTGTTCTCAGTGGCTCTGGGTCAAATAGGGAATTTCTTGGCCTACACTGCAGTCCCAACTGTGCTAGTGACGCCCTTGGGAGCTCTTGGCGTTCCATTTGGGTAAGAGTTTGCTTTTCTTGTTCTTATCTGGATGTTGTTACTACTTAATAAAATGTCAGATGGACTCAGTGCTCACTAGAGGACCATGGCTGTTAATGATGTGTTATAATGTCACTTATTCCTGTTTTCCCTGGCAAAGCTGGGGCTAGGGGAAGACAGTGGTGAAGAAGGGTTTTCCTGAGTATCTTTTGCTTTAGCTATCACTATGATTCAGAACAGATAAACATTTTTTTTCTCCCTTCACTGTGGTTATTCTGGACTCTTCTGCCTATTCTCTTATTCACAGTTCCCTTACTAAGTAGATCTTTCCTTTTGTCTCACAGTCTTTCTCTGCCCTGCTATGCACAGCCCACATGTATTTATTAATGCTGATTTTCGTTTCGTTAGATTTAGCCCCTGTCCTGAAGCAAGGGAGTTCTTTGCATATGCATGCCCTCAGCTTCTTAAACGTTGTGTTTGTGGGCGGCACAGAAAAGGCAGTGAGTTTAAGGACTTTAATACGCAACTAAATGTTTTGTGAATAAGTAAACTACAGTCGTGGAACTAATGCAGTGAAAAAGCACAACTCTTTAAAAACAAAGCTGTACATTGCCTCAAGATTTTTCTGCTGACTGCACTGGCCATCTGCTTCAGAGTGTAGATGGCTTTGCATCAGCTTCATGACTGACTTTAGTTTTATACACTATGAAGCACACTGATGGTGCTCTACTTACCACCTATTATTTTATCCTAGGCCACATAATTTTGTGTACTTTGGTCAGCTACTTCTCTGAGCTGAGCCCTGTGATCTTTGTAACCAAAGGTCACTTTTATCTCCTGACTGCTTAGCACCTATAAAATGGGGCTTTGTCATAGCTCACCAATTTAGAAATGGGTAGATAACTGCCTTTAGGGGCCAGATGTCTGATTTGGGGGGTTGGGTTTTTGGGGATTCTTTTTTGATGGGGTGATGTGGTGTTGTTTTTTGAGGTGTTGTGGTTAGGAGTTTTGTTGGAGTTTGAGTTTTGTTTTGTTGTGTTGGTTTTTTTCCTGAGATGAGATGTCAAGGATTGAGTAAAACTGCGAATGGATGAATCTTTCCTAAGATAAGTCAGAAATACCTTCTGAGGATTCACCAACATTTGGTTGAAGATCCACTGACATTTGATAATAATCCTTTAAGAAGGAAATTCATGTGGCACAATACTGTTAGAACATTATTAACAGGATGTAGTCAAACTTTTATTTTTCTTCCTCTTTGTGAAAGGTCCATCTTAGCTTCTTACTTACTGAAAGAGAAACTGAACATTCTTGGCAAGCTGGGATGTTTGCTGAGCTGCGCCGGGTCTGTTGTTCTCATCATCCATTCCCCAAAGTCCGAGAGTGTAACGACTCAGGCTGAGCTTGAAGAGAAGCTTACAAATCCAGGTACTGTGGTTTCTTATTAACTCATAACAATTTTGTGACGTTGAGCAAGAGTATGCAGGAGGAAGAGGCTTAACACTTCTATCAGGTAGGAAAATTGACTTTTGAAGAAAACATGATGTGACAGAGAGAAACCAGTACGGGTTTTGTATAGGAAAACTATGCCTTAGTGTACGTAGAACTTGTCATATTTATTGAGATATGTGTGCAGAAAGGAAAATGTGGATACTTTTGAAAACACTGTCCTGCACAGCAAGCTCAGAACAATGAGACAATAAAGCAAAAAATAGGCTGTTGTATAGAAATAGGCCGTTGAGACATATGTTGAAGTGCCTTTTCTTTCTCACTAGCTGCTGGAGGACACATACTGGTGCTAATATGTTCCAGGCCCAGTTTTATTTTTCTTGCTTAAGAGCTAAATGGACAACTATTGTTTTTCCTTTATTTGTTTTAAGTGAAAGTCAACCCTAATAACACCAGCTATTCAAAAAATCTGCAAACAAAGAAAAGAAAACAAATACCCTGGTCTAAATTTACAGTTTAAGTCTGAACAAAATGAATTGGCAATATATTTCTTTAAAACTGTAAAGCATGAGATGTTTTTCACTGATCTAATCTGTGTACTGATGCTATAATGTTAGTGATATGGCTTCACGTTTCTTCCAACTGTCCCTACTCCACTTGCTCACCTTAATGGGATCTAACTTTATGTTTAAGCTCTTTGCTGGATCCACACACCATGCCCTATTGAACTGGTTATGAAGGAGGTGTTGTCCCTGCTGTCTGTCATAGGAAGAGACTTTAAGGAGTATAGTCCTGATGGAAGAGAGAATAAAATAAAAATAGCAATCCAAAACCCATTTCAAATGTGCAACAGTGTCATTTACTACATGATGATTTGTTTTACCCAAAGAACATGACATCATCAGTTGCAGATGCCAACAACATCTCTAGAAGCTCAGTGGTTTGGATCTATATTGAATAGCAAATCTTAAGCATGATGTATACTGAAGTTCACTGGTATGACATGATTTGCCTGCAAAAATTTTTAGAAGACCAAGAGTTCTCACCTTGCTATTATCTTGTTTCCTTTTTGTTTTCCAGTTTTCGTGGGTTATCTCTGCATAGTGCTGCTAATGCTTCTCCTGCTTATCTTCTGGATAGCTCCAGCTCATGGACCTACTAATATCATGGTTTACATCAGTATTTGCTCTCTGTTGGGCAGTTTCACTGTTCCTAGTACAAAAGGCATTGGGCTGGCTGCTCAAGATATCTTTCACAATAATCCGTCGAGTCAAAGGGCTCTGTACCTCTGTCTGGTACTTCTGGCAGTATTAGGATGTAGCATTATCATTCAGTTCAGATACATCAATAAGGCACTGGAATGTTTTGACTCCTCTGTGTTTGGTGCCATCTACTACGTTGTGTTTACCACCCTAGTCTTGCTGGCTTCTGCCATCCTTTTCAGGGAATGGAGTAATGTAGGAGTGGTAGATTTTTTGGGAATGGCTTGCGGATTCACCACAGTATCTATTGGAATTGTTCTTATACAAGTCTTCAAGGAATTCAATTTCAATATTGGAGATCTAAATAAACCTAACATGAAAACAGATTAAAATATTTTTTGAGGGGAAACTGGATGGCTCAGGGAAGGATGCAGAGTCTTTAATTTCTAGGTCACTGATTCAAATAGGATTCAGGCAGGTAACTACCCTCTGATGATTTGGTGGCCTATATGAAATGAATTGGAAGCCTCCATCCAGTTTCAAAGGAACAGTTGTCCATGTACCCCAGTCGACACAATAAATGAACTTAATTGCAACCACTGATTGAGTCAGCATAGAGACCGATGTCTTTCTTTACTGTAAAAGGTAGTCCCTCAGAAAAGGTCTGTGGATGTTCTGACAGACCTGCATGTGAAAGCTTGTGTTGTGACTTCTGAGGTACCGTTTCTGTGGGCAGAGAACATCAGTTTCTAACTCACTCAATCTGATACCTTCCATCATGAGTGATGTGCACCTTTAAAATAAGGGGGAATAAAAGTGGAACAATTTCTTAATTTCAGTATAGCAATGTGTTCACCGTCAAGGCTCTGAATTCTGAGATAAATGTTGTTTGAACCATGAACTGCAGATTTGTCCTTTTTAATGACTGTCTTGGCAACTTTGTCTGCCATGTGGCGAAGACACTGGGGAGTTTTAAATTGAATTCTTTATACAGAGCAGTGGACCCTTAAATTTCTTTCACTAATTACTTATCAGCTGATGGTTGTGTCCAGGTATGCATTTTTCTTTGTAACTTATGTGCATTAAGACATACTGCATTCATCTGAGAGTTTTTAATTGGGAGCAGACAAAAAGCCTGTGAAGGATATGGAAATGATGCACAGACTCATTGCCTACATGGTGGCTTATTTGTAAGCAGCTCAGAACTGTTTCAGTGCCTTTGCAATCCAAAAATACTGCATAATTGTGAATGTATTTGTTTCAGCTGGCCTATACTGGTTTAATAATTCAATTTCACTGTCTACAATATTGGACTATATTCAGATTCTAAACACATAAAGCATCTAGAAGGACCCATGTATTTTTGGAAGAATTGACAAACCTGAACTGAAATCCCCAGATGCCTTGACAGCTTCTGAAAAACTCATAGGCCTAATGAGAAGAGGTAATCTACAGGAGTGTTGAAAACAGTCCAGCATACCTTTATTTTAGTTCAGTGACTAAATGCAGGAGACCATTTTGTGAAGCAGCTAATAAATAGAGACCACAAAAAAATTTAAGAGAGAGAAGAGCATGAGATTGCTCCTAGCTCAAAAAAGATGGTCTGATTTCTCTTGTAATGTGGGCAAATGAAGTTAAAGACTGAAAAAGCTTAGGCATTCAAAGAGCTGAGTTTTAGATAACTGACAGGGACACACATTCAGCTCCAGTAATTTATAGACCTGTGTGAATGGTTCGGCCATAATATTTTGACAAGTAGTACAGATAGCTTAAGCTATGATGGGGATGACTCTGAACAGTTCAGTTTAAACCATTTAGAGGGTATTGATATGTCAAAGAAAGAAACAGTTAATGTTCATGTTCTACTTATATTTGGTAGCTAACATCATGAGTCAAAAACTTGAAAGCTTGCAAAGCAGTGAATGTTTGTTTCCATGTAAGTACAAAACTAGAAGAGTACCATGGAACTCAACACCTCTAGATCAGGACATCTTCTGAGAAAAACAAGAAAACCCAACGTGGTTACAAGACAGTATTTGAGAAAGTTCATGACACTTTATCCAGAAATCGTGAATGTAGCTTTGTGGCTGCCTGACAAGAACATGGACTGTGATTAGCAGGGTGTAATACTGTCTGCTCTCGTGATCGTTTTTGTTGACCTGAACTAATGTTTTCTTAAAACTCAGCCTCCACTTTAGTTTAAAATGAATGCTATAAGCCCTACTAATGGCAGCAATAATCGTGAAAGTGAATCCTAAAGATTTAGTATTCTGAAGGGACTGTTCTGAGGGAGTAAGAGTCCTACTGTGTTATTTTCAAGCTTGTTTTATAACTCCAAATTGCAGGGGAGTGACTCTGAGTTGGCAAAAATGTATGTCGTTATAGGCCAGCGCAGTAACTGGGTATCTTAATGAAATAGAGTAGCACTAGCAGAGAAAAGACCATCTACATGGATTTTCAAATATTGTGCAACAACTTGAAGCAGTCAAGTTGTCTTCTCAAAATTCAAATTCAGAGTTCCTGAGTTGCATGTTGGTTTTGTATTAGCCTTTAATCTCTGAAGACTTTGGTTAAAAATCTTTAGGTCAGAATTGAAATTATTGTGGTCTCATTCCTCCTTTGGCCATCTTTGTTTGTCTTGGTTTGTTTTAAAATTAATTATTTATAAAGTGCCTGTCCTATTATGTTAGGTGCATATGCAAATTATTAGTTAATACTAGATTTAAAATAACTTGACTGCCCTGTCTAAACTTTGCCACTTTCTGCTCCACACAAAGTTTACTTGATAAGTGCTCACTATGCAGAGGAAGAATAAAGTAGCAGCTGTGTTCTGTGGTTCTCTGACTATCCTTACAACTGATAAATGTCTGCATAGTTCTCTTCTCCCCAGATGCTCCTCATCTGTGATGATCTTTCTAGAAATGTCTAGTTACCCTTGATGTTTAAAATAGAGATGTCAAAAGCCAGCACATAAGGTGAAAGAAATTCTTGTGGCCTTGCACATCACTTGTATCTGCAGCCTTTTACATCTTGAATGCTAAGTAATGGAAACCTTTATTTTTGCTATTTTGTTCAGTGTGTAGCAGTTTTCCTTTGAGTTCTGCTGTACCTGGATCTGATTCAGTTCTAACTTTAGAAATGTATTAGCATTTCCTGTTGTCACTGTTGATAAGGTTCTCCCCCACTCCATCCCACACCCTCCTCTTTCTAGGTGTCCTACCTTTTTTAGTCCCATTGCTTTTCTGATTTAAAAGAAGGCAATGTTGAAGTTGAATTTTAGCTGTTCACTCTTTTTGTTTTTATTTCACCCTTTTAATAAGTAAGCACTTTGAATAAGACAGATATCTGAGTTTCATCATCTCAGGGAGCAAATGTGCACAGTTGTCTCCTGAGCTTTGGTGTCCCTTATGGGTCTGCCCTTTTCCCGTTCTCTTGTGTTATGTCTGTTGATAGCTGGGAGCCAGATGGCTTCAGTTCTGATTCCAAAGTAGAAGTGGGAGAGGCTATGCATACAAAAAGTGGACTTGTTGCAGCAGTGGAATGCATTTGAATTCAATTCAAATCCATGTGAAAGGCGCTTCACTCTGTATGTCTGACTTCTGTTATATTTGTCAAACATATTTACTTGGTACTCACTTGAGGATAGCTCTTTGATCATTATCCCTTCAGTGTATGGAGGATTTGCATATGTCAGTCACAATCTTTATTAGGTGTCAAACACAAAAATCCCTCAAATGTCCAATAGGAGAATAGAAACCTTTTTGATACAACCAAAAAAAAAAATTTGTTACACCTTAAGTACTTATGTAAAAAAGAAAAATGTCTAAACAAGTTATCTGCTGTACTGACTTTCCAGGACTCTGTATGTGTAAATAGAGCCTATTTATTAGTGAGCTGCAACTAACATAAGAACCTGTCATATCACAGTTTGACAAGTGAAGCTTCCTATTAATAATACTGATTTATATTGGAACATATGTATTTTTCTGAAGTAATTAGCACTGAAAAATGGAAACACTGGATTAATTTTTTGAATCACTAGAAAGTGAGGTTTACCTTTCCTCTTTATTTAAAAAATAGAGGGTTTGTATTTGAAGAAGTTTAGGGTTAATAAATAGGGGGTGCTTTAAATGGGCAGTTGTTTGCATGTTATACCCCTCTCACATTCTTGTTTCACAAATATAAAACATCAAGGATTCTACAGATCTTCCTTCATTGTCTTGAGATGGTGTAACTGCTGAAGTTTTACTGTTAAATCAAGCATTATCAAATGTTTATCTATTACCTGTTATCTTTGTAATAATTTTTGGTGCTAATATGGCTTAAAGAATGCAGAATTTTGGTCTGTGTTAGGCACCAATGTGGTCAACAGTTATTATTACTAGTGCCCAAGTGTTTCAGACAGCAGTGTTGAAATGTTATGGATTAAGAAATCTTTTTTTAAAAGCTGAAAATAATTTTGGGTTTTTTTATTATTTGTTCTTGTGTTGGGTCCTCCCATGTCCCCCCCCCCTCCTGATAAAGTTGCTCTGCAGAGTGGAAAATATTACGCAAAGTGGTATTTTTAAGTTAAATCCTTTTTCAACTGTGGAACTTTCTCTTCTTTTTTTTTCCCCCCTACTTTTTTTTTTTCCGGAATGTAAAAAATAGTTCTATTGGGATATGGGGAAAAGGTGGATGGCAACAAACATACAGTGTCAGGTTTGGTTGCTTCAATGCTCTTGCAATATAGTTACTACAGATTACATAAAAATGGTTTATTTTATTAGCTTCCGAATAATGTATATATAGATTTGTTAACAGCTTACAAGTCAAGCTTACTCTCTTTGCTTTTTAAAAAATAGTTATAGGCATGTTGTATTTGCCTTGTGTAAATTATTAAAGGCTATTTATTAAGTTTTCTGATAACTAATCTATTTATTAACCTGTATTGTTTTAAAATAAATGATTTATTTCTAGCTCAATGTTTTGTTTTGTGATTCCTCTTTATCCCAGGGGGAGAAAAAAAATGAAGTTTCCCACACACTTAGCTGCTTTACAGCCTAATCCCAATTCATAAGCCTAAACTATTTTCATTTACCTTTCATAAAACAGCCGTTTTGCATTTACACAGAACAGCAGGTTCTTGTCTGGGTACAGATCAGTTGCCACACGAAGGGCTCAATTGTCCTATACTGGAGTCTACCAGCAGGCTATAGTCTTAATGTCTTCCTTAGACTGAAGTTTGCTCACAGTTAGAATGAACACTTCTCTGGAGAAATGTTTGCTGAGGCCTGAGTCACTTTAAACTGTGTCTTTAGGGTTAACATGTGCTCTGTTCCTGCATTGCTGTACACTGGCTACTTGCTAGTGCTTTTATTTCAAGATCTACTGCTTCACAGTTGGATGTGCATGGAGTGGCAACAGCTGTAAGGAAGTCACCAGTCTTGATTTATTGTCTCTCACAAGAACTTCCTGTGGAATCACTTGGAAAATTACAGTGACTGCCCATCTAATCCTTCATCTGAAATTCCTAGCTCCTTGTATCAGGTATTGGCAAATACATGGCTTACAATCTGTGTGTGTGTGTGTGTGTGTGTGTTAAGTTTTAGGTGGTTGGGTTTTTTTTTAATGGTGGGATTTATGATTAAGAATTGTTTCAGTCTGTGATTCAGGCATTTGTGGTTTAGGGGATGCATTAGTATTACTGCTGGTCAAAATTTAAAGTTATTTTTAAACAAATTATCTCCTCCAATATTAAACATATGCAGTGGAAAAGACTGGCATAGATTCTTTACTGTAATTTTATTTTTAGAGGTGCTGATGATATTAATGCAACATACAAAGACAGTCCAAAAAACTAGAGAGGCTTTTTCTTCTGCATGCAGCATATCTTGATTTTTAAGTAGGTAGCATAGAGGAGTGTGTATTTTAAGAACATGTTTTATCAGGAGAATTCAACTTCTTATTTTCCTCTTGTTCATCTCTGGAGTTAGGCCTCTAAGGCAGTAGCATTGTGGTAAAGGCAAATATGCCATTTACACCACTGGTATTGTTGAAAGTCTGGGACATAATCCTGAGCATACTTATCTCACCAACACAGTTCATATAGGAAGAGTGTTAGAGACCAAAATCTGATAGTGCCAAAAGAAAAAACAGTTCCATTGATTTTTTTGTGATATTTGTTCTAAGAGTTTAAGTCTTAAGCCAAGTCCCTGAAGTTATTTGTATGTGACAGTGCACCTGTTGTATGAGTAGACTCGCAGACATGACTTCATTGTTCTGCTCAGCTGTCTTCGTGAATGCAACATGATGTGGACATCAGAGACCCTGTTAGAGCTTCCTGACTGCCTAATCAGTTTTCTGTCAGGTACTGACCTGACTAGATTCACCATCCTGGTGGGATGCTTTAAAACTCTGCCAGCTGGCTCCATTCTGCCCAGGGACCATGTATCAGAAAGCAGCTGGGTGTGGATGGCACACAGTGCCGTTCATCGCAACCCCTTTGCTGTGTCTACACCGTCAGAAATCACTGCACAAGAGTCAGTCTGTACACAACACAAACTAGACTATCTGCTAACTTGGTCATGCTCCCCAAGGTTGTATGGGTGGTGTTTTTGCTCTCTGTCCTTTTAATACGAGTTGTTTATACACATAAGAGATACTAAGCCCTGAAAAACGATGTTCATAGCACCTGTGCTAGCTCACCTCCTTTGTGAAATCCATGGGGCACAAAGATGGCTTGTGTGGCTGAGCTTCCCTACAAGAATGGGTCAAGTTAGGCAGGTTACCAGCATTCTCATGTTTGGAGTTTTTTCCAGATACGCAGCAGACATGCCTGAAGTACCATGCTGTTGTAAATTACTCACAGATGGTCTGAGTATTTTCTGTTACTGAGCACAACCCCTGGCTTTGGAGTAAATATTTAAAGATTTGTGCCAAATTGAGAGCACTTGAATTCATATTTTGTGTGAACAGATGACAGTATGTTAAGCAGAACTAGCAGTTGAAGAAACATGAGGAAGAGGATTAACAGAGAATAACTGAAGTTTCATAAGGGTCTATAATGCTTAGAGGAGTCCAGTTAATATTTTCAGGTGTTCACTCATTGCTTTAGGTTGGTTGAGAGGTGTTTTTGAAAAGAGGAGAGCAGGAGAGGAGACTGGAAAGGGAAGTTTAAATTGACTAGCTTCAGATATGACTGTTGTTTAACTCAGGAATATGTATGTGTATGCTTTACCAACATTTGGCATGATCACAGGCACATTAATTTCTTTAGCTCTTTTAAACTTTGAACTTAGCTATCAGTACTTAGATGCTTCTGTTTATACTGTACCAGTTTAGGTGGTACAGGTGTTAATTTTTTTTAATCCGTTCGAGAAACCGTTTTCACCAGCTGTTGAACTTTTTTTCAAAGACTTCACAGTTTTGGTATCTTTGGTATCTGTAAAACACAGAAAAGCTAGCCTCCTACTGTGTAATTATGTAGGTAATGACTGCAAATTGCTTAGCAGTTTTATATGTTAAAATATATTTTTATGTATACACGCATATATATAATTGCAAAGTTCATGTCAAGAATACTAGATTAGTTTCACATTGGGGAATGGAATGTTGCCTTAGAGAACAGAATAGGCCTAAAATTTATCCATATGCTTTGACTGCTGTAGGAATTTAATTTTTCTGACAGACTGAGGGACCATTTTTAATGAGAAAAAACACAGCAGGTAATGTGACACGGAGTGGCTTTGTTATGAGTATCCTGTGAGAGAAAGCCAAGATTGGTTCTCTGGTTTTGTTTCCAGGTTTTTCCAGGTTTAGCAAAAATAAAGCAGCTGTTTGTGCAGACTAGGATAATGTCAACACAAATCCTGAGAAGCCTAAAAAAGTAGGAACTGCTGTCACTAAGGGCTGTGACAAAACTGTCTCGTGTTGAAGAGGCAGAGCTGCATCTTCCATGTGGAGCTACCACAGGTATTTTGGCAGTGTTGTTTGTCCAGACTTAACGTTACAAGGCAGCTGTGTAAAGCCTACTCAGATAGTCCTGAAGAAATCCAACAGCCCTCTGAGCCTGAAGTCCAACTGTTTGAAAGGCTCCATGCTGTAAGCCAAGGACAAATATTTGTCTAACTATATTTACCAATTTATTTAGTATGAGATTAAAGCAGTTGGGGTTGTAAAGCATGCAGCGAGAGTGTGGCACCTGAATTAAATTGATTACTTAACCATGCCCTTTACCCAACCCTGTAAAATGCCTCTCTCACTTCCTGCATGTGGCTTCTAAGTGTTTATTTCAGCCTGGAAAAGAGAAGGCTTCGGGGTGACCTAACTGCCCCTTCCAGTACCCGAAGGGAATTTACAGGAAAGATGGGACAAGACTATTTACAAGAGCATGTACTGACAGGACAAGGGGGAATGGGTTCAAAGTGAAAGAGAGTAAGTTTAGACTGGATATTAGGAAGAAATTCTTTGTTGTCAGAGCGGTGAGGCACTGGAGCAGGTTGCCCAGAGAAGCTGTGGATGCCGCATCTCTGGAGCTGTTTAAGGCCAGCCTGGACGGGGCTCTGAGCAACCCGGTCTAGTGGAAGGTGCCCATGCCCATGGCAGGGGAGTTGGAAGTGGATGATCTTCAAGGTCCCCTGCCAACCCAAACCGTTCAGTGATTCTGTGCTTTTCCGTGAGGCTGTAAAAGCTGGGTAGCGCGGGTGCTGGCCGGAGCACCCGGGGCGGGAGGCGGGAGTGGCCGGTCGCGGCTGCAGGTGCACAGCGGCGCTGCGGGTCCGTCGCAGGGGCGTTCGCGGGCCGGAGCTGACGCTGGGTAAGGCACAGCTGAGCCCCTGAGCAGTCTATCGCCGCCTCGGGAGCGGGCGGCGCTGCAGGAGGAGGGCCGTGACCCGCGGCAGGCGGGGCCGGGGCCGGGGCCGCGCCCCTTCCGGCGGGCGCTGCCGGAACCCGTGGAGCGGAGCGGGCGGCCGGGGTTGGGACGCTGTTTCGCCCTCGCTGCTGTTGCCGCCCGCGCTCCCGCTGCCGGTCCCTCTTCCCTCCCGTCCCGTCCCCTCATGGCGGTGGAGCGCGCGGGCACCGGCCCCTCCCGTCGCCCGCTCCGGCCTCCCCCGCCCCCGTCTCCTCCTCTTAGTTCGCCGCTGCTTGCGGGGATGTGAGGGGGCCGTGACCGCAGGTACCGGCGGGGAGAGGCGTGCAGGGGGCCCGGCCGGCCCCGCGGGAGGCGGGGGGAGGCAGGGCTGCCTGCCCGCGGAGCGCTCGGCGCAAGGCCCTGGGCGCGGGCGCTGTGGGTGAGGAGCGGGCGAGTCGGGGGCGGCGGTTGCGGGGCTCCGGGTCTTGGACCTGCCTGTAGCAGCCCAGGGTGGGTTTCTCCGTAGTGGGAAGCTTGCTGTGGTTTGGGCAGAGAAGGCTGGAATTAAAAACCCTAAATCTGGGTGTTTGCGGGGCTCTCCCGCCGGGCAGAAGTGGCCGGGTACGGTGTGCTGGGTCTGCCAGAGCTCTGGAGCCGCTGTGCCTCGTACTGGAGTGTTGCTAACCAGGGAGCTAAACCGGTTCATCTTCAGGGTTGAGTGACCCGAGGCTGAGGGTTGAGCAGAGCAGCTTCGGTAGAACTTCAGAGCCCTGACGGTGCTTTAGTTTGACATGGAAAACAGTAATCTTAACTTTGCATTGTAGGTCATTGTAGGCTTAAGCAGCGCCAGGGGAGGTTTAGGCTGGACATGAGCAAAAATTTCTTCACAGAAAGGGTGACTAGACGTTGGAATGGGCTGCCCAGGGAGGTGGTGGAGTCAGCATCCTTGGAAGTGTTCAAGGAGATAGAGGACGTTGCACTTAGTGCCATGATCTAGTTGACATGGTGGTCTTGGGCCATAGGTTGGACACTGTGATCTCAGAGGTCTTTTCCAACCTAATTGATTCTGTGATTCAGAATGATGATTTCTGTTTGTTCATACACTGTGAAGATGTTGCCTAGATCTGACTC